AATTTTTTTAAAAAAGATTTAAAATTTTGCCTGAGACCTTTGGTCTCCAAGTATAGTTTTTGGACTGCCGGGAATCCCCAAGAATCTTCTAGAAGAAGTTTGTGAGATCCAGACTAGTTTTATGAAAGTAACAGGGTTTTTTGTTTGTTTGTTTGTTTTTGCTTTTTTTTACTTTCCAAGAAGCCATTGATACAATGATGTCACTCTGGTAGTTAAATGCAGTATATACTTGTGTGTTTTGTAATTTCTGGTCTATTAAAAGTCATTATGGGGGCTGGAGAGAAGGCTTGACAGTTAGAGCACAGGCTGTTCTTCCAGAGGCCGAGTTCAGTTCCCATCAATCATATGGCGGTTCACAACTGCCATATAATAGGATCTGGTGCCCTCTTCTCGCATGCCCAGCATGCCACTTTTTCTCTCCAAATTGGGAGGGTTTTATGTTTCTCATTGTGTGTCTTTAGAGGTTAACTAACTCATTTTGTCCTCAGTCCTTCTAGACTCTTACTAGTGATTTTCTTTCCCACGTGTTATTAGGATTGTGTCCTGCCCAGACCTCAGTACCTCCATGTTAATATTTTTGGAGACAGGGCCTTTGTTTAATGAGGCAATTAAATGACAATCAGGCCATTAGGGTGGATCCAAGTCCAGTCCCTCTGGCCTGGAGTCCTTAAGAGGAATTTGGGATCACTCATGAAGACACAGGACTAACACTCACCCAGAGGAAGGACCCATGAAGACCCTGTGAGAGGGTGGTAATCTACCAGCCAAGAACAGTGGCCTCTGGAGAGACCAAACCCCAGCACTTTGATCTTGAACTTCTGGGAACTGTGAAAATAAACTGGCTCTACGGAGGCCTTTGGTCTGTGGCTTTTTGTTATGGCAGTCCTCTCAGACAGCTGCGAGGCACAGGCTCACAGGCTACCTGTCTTCCTTTGAACCAGACATTAAAGGGATGTGTAAAAATAGAAAACAATGCCACTTTTTCTCCCCGATTTGGGAGGGATTTGTGTTTCTGATATGATCCATTATTGTTCTGTTAATATGAAAGTTTAAAGTATACTGTTAAGATTTTAGTTTTGTTTTCAAGTATACTAAATTCCAATGTGTATTTCACACAAACAGAAGTTCTTGAGAGTCCTCAGCAATACTTTGATGCACAAGGCACCTGAGACCAGAAGGTTAAACACTGTGCTGCTGTGCTGTCTTCCCTATGGGGGCATGTCAACGAGACTGCTGTAGTTTGGAAGCTCCCCCCACAAGATTAGTCACTAATCGGTGGCATTATTAAGTGGAAGTGGAACATTGAGAAGTGAGTCCTTGTGGAAGGAAGCTGGGCCATTTGGGGGAAGTGACCTTAAAGGAGTTAGTGGAACCCCAGCCTCTGTTTTCTCTTTGCTTTCCAGTCACCATGAGATGAGCAAGCTCCCTCAGCCCCTCTTGCTGTAACGCTGCCACCAAACCAAAGAAGCAGGGCCCTCCAAAAGCACGTGACACATTAGCCATCTTAGAAGATCTCTCAGGTGCTTTGTGACAGTGACACAAGGGCCATTTGGGGAGCGTTCGCAGCACGGGGAGTCATACCACTGGCCTGCATCCCCAGCCCATAAACCATAAACCACATGAGCTCTTCCCATCCAAAGTCATCTTTTAACAGGTAGAGATCTACATCAGTTTTTATGTCTATAGAGTAGTTTTTCTAGATACATGTTTTGTTTGACTCTTGCCGTGTTACCCAGGCAGGACTTAAATTCCCTGTGCTGAAGTGACCCTCCTGTTTCTGCCTCCCAGATTCTGCAGCTTACAGATGCACACTGCTGGGGACTAGCTGTTGGTATAGTTTTAAGTTTAACAAGTTGATTATTGATTAATAGTTGTTTATTCAGGTTCTCTAGAGGAACAGAACTTATGGAATACACACACATATAAATTCTACATATATGTGTGGAAATTTGTTAGAATGACTTATAGGCTATGGTCTAGCAAATCCAACAATGGCTGTCTACCAATGGAAAGTCCAAGGATCCAGTAGTTCAGTCCGTAAGACTGGATGACTCAGTTGGTCTTCAGTACACACCAGAATCCCAAGGAGTAGGCTCTGATGCCAGTGAAGGAGTGGACTTGTCGGTGAGAGTGAGAGCGAACAGGCAAAGAGCAAGAGCTTCCTTCTCCCGGGTCCTCTACCTAGGCTGTCACTAGAGGGTGTGGCCCAGATTAAAGATGAATCTTCCCGCCTCAGAAGATCCAGATTAACCCAGAAAACCTAGACAACAATGAGGACCCTACATTGATCTAATGTACATACATGGATCTAATCTACATGGGAAGGAGAAAAAGACAAAATCTGAGTAAATTGGGAGCATGGGAACCTTGGGAGAGGGTTGAAGGGGAGCAGAGGAAAATGTAGAGCTCAATAAAAATCAATAATATTTATAAAAAGATAAGAGAAGCCAAGAAAATGTTAATTTGGAAAGGAAAATAATAATAATTTAAAAAGATCCAGATTAAGAGTGGGTCTTTCCACTTCAGATGATGTAAGAAAGCCCTCACAGGTGTACCCAGCCGCTTGGGTTTTAGTTAATTCCAGATGTAGTCAAGCTGACAATGAAGAATAGCCATCACAAGCGGGTGTGGATTGGTTTTTAGATATGGTTGTTAAGAAAAAGTTTGAAGTATTTCTGTTCAGTTTATCTTTTTGAACTTATAGCATCTAGAAATGAGAGCAATTTTTTAGGGACAGATTTGGCATTTTTTGTGGAAAATTGAGGTTCTCCATTTTGTCTTGCTAACTACAACAGAAAAATATAAAAGACACATACACAATTTAATAAACATCTTTGGCATCACCTCATATTTGGGAACTGTGGTTTGGAAAGGCTGACCTGCCAATAAGTCTCTAGAAGAAACCCTTTTTCTTCTTTATAAACAAGGTTATTAGTTATTTTGCACAACTCTTAGAACTGCCATCTAAAAATTTGCTCTCTTCCTCCTAAATAGCTTCCTCTTTGGCTTTAGCTAAGTGTGTCGGGCTGTGTACTGCAGGAGGCAGGTCCCCTTGGATGAATTGCCTGTGTGTGGAAAATGTTCTGACCTTCATGGGTCTGAAGGCAGCTATGGCTTCCTGAAAGGCATTGGGTTAGTTTCTATATTTCTTGTTAAGTAGCTCTGGTAACTAGACCCCTAGAACCCTTGGTGCATCTGAGCTGTTCACTAAGAGCTTTGGCGGTGTGTAGATAACTTTACTAAAAGTCTAGGATTGAGGGGCACGTGACTCTGTTGGTAGAGTGCTCACCTAGCACGAGTGAAGCCCTGGGTTCTATCCCTAGCACCACATGCACCGGAAGACATCTGGGAAGTGGATACAGGAGTATCAGAAGTTGAAAGGTCACTTTCAACCTACAAATCAAGTTGGAAGCCAGCCCAGGCTACAGGACACCCTGTCTGAAATAAAAAGACCAGGATTAAGAAGATGGGGGGAAAGAGGGGAGCAGGAAACAAATGTAGAGCTCAATAAAAATCAATAATAATAATAAAAAAAAGATGATGGAGGAAAGATGGTAAGATTTGGTAAATCTTCAGAACAATGAATAGTTATCACCTCTTTCTAACCCGAGGGACAGACTGTTTTGTTTTTTAAAAGCCTTGGATCATTTTGCTCGTGTTTCACAGCCATTGTATGATATGTGTAGCATTAACCTTAATTCTAGGTAGGAAATGGGATCCTCAGTTCCCTCCAGTCCACATGACAAGCTGAGCTCTGGGCTGTGAAGCACACGGCACCACCTAGGAGGGCTCCATGCACCGTGGGATGCAGACTTCAATATCTGGAGCTTGCAGCAGCACCGCAGGAAATCCAAGAAACACAAAGGGGAGCTATTGCTTTGTATTTTCCCCAGGGTGCCCTCCCCCACCCACCCCCCCCACCCCCGGGCCAGACCACTGAGGGCATGCAGCACTCAGACATGCCAGGCCCCATAAACCTCATACCCTGTGTTTTTTCCTACCGATTAAGATCATGGTCTTCCATTGTCTTTAATTTTTTTTTTTTTTAACCTCATAGCAGCCAAGCCTTTTTCATAAAAACACACTCTAGGGCTTGAGGCCCAAAAGTTCAATATGTTTTCTCCTGTCATACTCTTCAATTTATTTTTAATGTAAATCCCATTTCTACTCTGATCATAGGTCTGTGCCCAGCTGCCAGCCTTCCCAGCTGGTGAGTCAACACATGTCTATAGGCAATGACTAGGGTCGCAGTTTTAACAAAAACCTAAATAACTTCGAACGAACCGGCCTCCTCCCACCTTGTCGCCTTTCCCAGTGGCTTATCAAACTCAATATAAAATCAAACCACAAGCAAATGGGCCTGTCTAGATTTGCAGAATCCAGGCAGATGAGACGGCTAGACAAGAGTCCTTTCGGGTTGCCCTAGGAAAAGCTAACAAAACGGTGCCAGCCCCTAAACAGCTGCCTGGGGAGGAGGACATCTGCCCTTGTTTTACCAGCCATTCAGAGCTCAGGCCATGCATTGAAAAGAGCGGTGGGTCTGGGGAGCAATAGTTCAGAGGCAGCCAGTTGTTAGACCGCCTTTGTCTTAAGGAAGCCACCCATTACCTTAGCGCCATAACTCGTAGGGAGCCAGCTGTCAGAGCTGTGGCATGGGCCACTAGGGGTTGGGGGGTGGGAGGGAAGGGAGGAAGAAGCTGTCGATGGCCAGATTCTCTTTTAGACACCTGAGCCTGACTGGCTTGGTAACCGGAGAGTTTTTCTTTCCGGCCCAGTGAAAGACCCCGGGGCCCTTCTTTGCTGTCTACCCTTGGATAGACAGCAGAGACATCTCAGGGTTCTGCTTCCTTGGTTTCCAGCTCCCTGGGAGCTGGACTGGGTTGCGCAGCCCTGCGCTGCAGCTTGGCTGCTCCGATCCAGCGCTCTGCTTTGAAATCTACCCCCTCCTTTTTTTTTTTTTTTTTTTTTTTTTTTTTAAACCAGGTATTATGAGGTCAAACGTGATGCTGATGCTACAGTTACAGACACAGCCCCCGCTGGCGCAGCCTCTCTGATTCTCTCTCCCTCTCCGCGTCCAGCGCTGGGCTTTTTCAGACAAGTGCATCTGCTAACCAGGTCACATTTCAGCCACGACCCACCCTCCGTCAGTCACTGAAGTCAGACCGCAGGAGGAGGGCTGAAGAGGACCGCAGCGCCTCGCCAGCGGCGCGTTGGAGGAAAGGACATCAAATCCTGCAGAAGTCGAGAACCCCCCAGGTCCAAGCCCAGACCACGATGAGCGCTCCGGGCTACGGGCGGCTGGCGTTGCCGCTGCTGTTCTTCGCAGTGGTCGCCTTGGCTGAAGGCGACGCTAAGGGGCTCAAGGAGGGCGAGACCCCCGGCAATTTCATGGAGGACGAGCAATGGCTGTCGTCCATCTCGCAGTACAGCGGCAAGATTAAGCACTGGAACCGCTTCCGAGACGTGAGCGGCAGGGCATGGAGGGCCGGGCCGGGCGCGGGTTCCGGGAGGGAGGTGGGGAGCAGGGACCCCGAGCGCGCTGGGAGCAACCACCGCGTGTCGGAGCCAGAGCCTCTCCGGCCTGCCGAGCTAACTGCGCCAAGAGTAAACAACACCGAGAGTCCCAACCCTGCGCCCCTCTCGTGTTTGCGTGGCCACCGGCATTGGGACCTTCAGTCCCGCAGCCTCTCAAAGAGTCCCAGGCAAGGGACATGCTCGGAGGGCGCACGCTCGCGATAGGGTCTGCCCGGTGGCTTGACGCGGAACAGGGGTGCGGGATGTGGGGACCCGGGCCCAGGCTGCTGCTGGGCCCCGCCTGTCCCCTTATTGCCATCGGTCCCGGGGCCAGGCCTCGGCTGGGTGGATGCTGCAGGCTAAACACACGGGCCTTGGCAAAAGGCAGCAGGTCTGGGTGGGGCCAGCAGGGAAGGTAGCGGCCGCTTGGGTGTCCTCGGTCCCCGCCTTGGGCTTGGAAAGAAGGGGACCTAAGGCGCAAGGACTGAGCGGTGGCCAAGGCTTTGAGTTTGGAGAAGGGTTCCCCAACCCTCATAAGAGATGGTGGAAGGCGTGTCCATAATGGGGTGAGAGTGGCACAGTGAAAATGCCCAAGACCCCCTCAGGGTGGCCACCAGAAGCAGGCTACGGTCCTTGAACGTAACAACCTAGGCATGGTTTTCCTTGACCACACTTGGCGAGGGAGCAAGGCTAGAAACCCAGGGGACCCATCCTTAGTCCAGAGGGCTTGAGAAGCAGAAGCAAGAGCCTCAGGTGCTGGGTTGGGGGGCCCTGGAGGGCGCCCGCCGCATTCAGACTTAACCTTGGGCCGAGCTTTGCGGGTGGGGGTGGGGAGGAGGCTGCGGACCGGCCGGCGCAGCAGCTCTGTTTACCCGCACCTGTAGATCGGGGAGGGAATAGGAGGCGCGTTCCTTCCCGCAGGGCGGCCGCAACCGCGCCTCGCAGATGGTGGCGTGGGCAGGGGTGAGGAAGGGAGGGCGTGGCTGCTCCCTGGGCACCTCAGAAGGCGATGGGGGGGGGATGTAGAGCGCCCCTCGATGTGGCGCTAGCTGACTCCCCGACCTCCAAAAGCATTCCCCAGATTCTCTCATCCTACCCACCCAGCACAAGACAAGTCACACCATGACTGCCCTCACTTCTTAAACTTCGAACATCCACAAGTTCCTTAGATAATTTTTTTCTATTCAACAGTTTAATCCTGGTTCAGAATAAAGATCGTATTTTAATATTGTAAGGTGCATCACTGATACAGCATGCTGTGGGTCCTTACCGAGTGACCCAGAAGGCTGGGGGAGCCCGGGAATTCATTCCGTCAGAGCATGTAGAACTGATATTTACAGTTTTTCTTCTTGGAACCGGCCTGGAGTATCTGTCTAGACATTGTTTTTTAAACACACGCAGGGCACCCAGCCACACTACGAGAAGAGGCAGAGATTCGTATGTTTTTTTGTTTTGTTTTGTTTTCAAAGTCAAACTGACATGTTTTCATTTGTAGAGGGAAAGAACAACCAACTGCATCCAGGTCCCCAGGCTGTCCTGGCCCCTGGACCACATAGTGGGCCATGATCTCCATCTTTCCCCCACCATTTTAGAGAGCCTGTGGCCCAGCAAAGCCTTCCCCAGGCACCTGCAGGACCAGCCCAGATTAGCGCAGTCCCCTGTCTCGGTCTGCAGTCCAGCAATGAGGGGGCAGCAGCAAGCTGGTCCTTCCGGAAGGAATCCAAGTGTCACTGGTCCAGGCCTCCCTCTGACTCTCTGGCTCTTTGATCTGCCTGGGACTAGTGAAGGTCAGAGAGAAAAAGAAACGCTTAATCAGAACAGTGAGGGTTTAAAAATAAAAAGAGTCCCTTCCCTTCTCTCCATCCGTCTGCTTCCAGCAGCCAACAAAGTGGCTGCCAATAAAATGCTTGACTTCCTTGACCCCCCAGCTCAGGGCTGCCCACCTGTCTGCCTGTATTGGTGCCGCCACCACCCCCATCAGAAGAAAAGCCCTAGCATTAAAATTGCAGGACCAGCCCCTGCAGGATTCCTAGAGCCTGCATTGGTGGTGGAGACGGGGTATTTGTGCTTTGGAAACGCGAGTTTTTCTCTAAAGCCCCATTCTGGGGAACCCCGGCTGCCGGAGGATGGGGTCAGAGAAAGAAGTAGGACAGAAAGGATGAGGGAGAGGGCGTGGCCTTGTGGGAATCCGTTGGCAGCTTCCACTGAAAGGCAAAAAGGAGGCTGCGAGCTCCTCTCGAGTCACTGCCTTGCATAACTGTAGCCATGCCACCTTGTGAATGGCGCCTCCTGGAGTTAGGTGGCGCACAGACTACACTCAGACTTTACCAGCCCAGCACACACTTCCCATCCCACCGTAAAGGCTGGAGCCCCCCCGTCAGACTCTGTAACCCAGATCTTGACATCTATCTTCATCGGGTCGGCTCTTCTGAAAAAAATGAAAACACCAGCTCTTCATGAGAGAAAAAGATTTTTTTTTTTTTTTTGTGGTTGGGGGGAGTCCCTAAGAGATTGCCAGGCTGAGCTTGACCCTGGTTCATAAGTGATCACAGATGGCACGGGTCTGGCTAAGTGACAGAGAGGCAAGCAAGAGGGAGGGCTGTTCTCAGGGAACAGGACCACTCTCAGGAAACGTCAGTAACACGGATGAGGGGCTGTCTCACTGAACAGTTGACAGATGAGCTGGGAAGATGGAGGAGATCATGTCAGAGAGGCCAGAGGAGGGAGAGGCTCTGGGGTGTTGCTTAGATGTCCGGAATTGACTGGGTTGAGGAGGGCCTTTAGATTATTGCTCTCTGTGGGAGCGCTAGGATAATCAGAGAGACAGGCTTTGTTAGCAGAGTGATCTTCCTCCCCTCCAATGGGCACAGGGCTCTCCTATCCTGGGCCTGTAGCCACTGCTCTTCTCCTGGGGAGGAGTGGACTCGTGAGGGAATAGCTAGGAAGCTAGTGAGCTAAGCTTGACTCTGTGGCTCGAAAGTCCAGGGCAGTCTTATGATTCTTATGAGCCCTGCCCGTCAGTGCTCCCATGTCCACATTCACTCCCTGCAGAGCTGGGTCAGACTTGTCTATGGGTCTCGTGGATACGGGCACTTGAGAAGAGAAGGCCATTACAGGGCCTCTCCAGGGCTGGCTCCAAAGAGCCTGGCTGGGAAGAACGGACTGTTCTCTTTCTTCTTGGCTCTTCTCTGCTTTGCACTCCACTTCCATTAATTTTTAATTATATTTGTGAGTGCTGAACATAGTGCTTGGCACCCAGAGGCACACTGCTGATCCATGTTGAGCTGATGGTGACAGTGAGCCTTCCTGATACGCATTGTCTCTCGTGCCTCTCCGCAACCCGTGAGACAGTTGTCCCTTGGTCATCTACCCTTGTATGGTCAAAGAAACTGAGACATAGAGACATCGAGTGGCTTATTTGGGGATCCACAGCTAGGAAATGGCAGGCCTGGGATTTTTTTTTCCCGTTGAGACAGGCTCAGTGTCCCAGGTGAGGGGTACAAGCACACACACACACCACCGCGCCCAGTTTCTTCAGTGCTGGGAATTGAACTCAGGGCTATGTGCACACGAGGTGAGCGCTGTACCGACTGAACCGCGTCCCCAGTTCTAGAACTTGGATTTGGATCCAGGTCATGTAATTCAGCTTTGCTTTCGGGATAACTTGCATTCCTCATCTTCACTGAATGGGGGAGGAAGGGTCAACTATAGTGAACCAAGTGTCCCCTGGCTAGTGTCTTATCAGCTTCCAGGGCTGTCCCAGGAAGGAACACGAGGAATGACAAAGACCCGGTGTTGTCAGCAGCCAGCCACCAGCCTATTCTCCAGCCTGGCCCGGAGGGACAGGGAGTGCAGAGTTCGAGGACAGTTTGGCCTGGGTTCAGGTTCTTCCCACAGGATGCCAAGCTCATCATACCAGCCTTCTGAACCTCAGTTTCAGATTGGGAGGCTGGCATGAATGTGCACTTCTTGCCCCAGGAAGAAGGGCATCCCCTGCAGGCCACCTCTGGCCATACAGAAACTGTCTTTGGAGCTGGCCCACAACCTGCCCCATTCTTTGTGTCAGGAGCGGTACAGTGGCTTGCTTAGTTCCCTCATCTGCTATGGATCTGGTGTGCACCTCTGGGGTTTCGTGACGATCCCAAAGGCTACAGAGCAGGGGTTCGGGGCTTTTATCTGGTGACCGTGTCCTAGTCTGGTGCATGCCGATAGGTTAGTAACATGGAAAAGCTGCAAAGGGTTCCCGGATGACTGCCCCCTCCTGCTCCCGACCTCCAATGTGAGCGTAGGGACAATCTGTGCATATGTTGTGAGGAGGTGTGGGTTTGTGAGAACCCAAAAGTGGGTCAGAAGGGATTCTGTAATTTGGGTTGGGAGCAGGCCAGGTCCTTCACCGGCTTCCTCCTCCGCTGATTTCTGACTCTTCTCCCACTGGTTGGCACCTCCAGAACAGGGCAGCATGGTGAGGGACCAGCAGGACGCCGGACCTGGGAAGAGAGGAAGAGCAAAGGCTTGCTGCTCCATGAAGCTGCAGGCTGCTCCTCTTGACTCCTAGCCACTGTCAGGGAGACAGATAGTCCATGCCACCTCTCTCTTCATGAGGTCAGAGCTGTCTGGAGAATTGGAGAGCTCTGTCCTGCCTCAGGTCCCAGGCAGAGTGCTTGCTCTCTTTGCCTTCCTACTGGGTAGACGGATTATCTATGTGACCCTGAGGCAACTGTTTTGCCTTTTTGAACCTTGATCTTCTCATTGGTTTAATGCACAGACTAATGGGAATGATCCACTAATCTCTGAACATTCCATGACTCAGGAATGAGGCACAGGAGCGTTCCCGCCCCCCTGCCCCTGATGGGGTGGAGAGTCTTTGAGTTCAAGGAAAGGCTTTCCTTTTCCTCCCGAGGAAGGGTCTGTGCTTGAGCAATAGGCTTTCTGGCAGCTCAGCATACCAA